TTATTATATATATATATATATATATATATATATATATATATATATATTTCATCCCCGTTTTAAGAAATGAAGAGGTCATCATTCTTTACCAAGAAATTGCATGTGTCTTTTATTACGATGATCGAATACGCGTATCACTTATTTTCTTCTGTTATATATATCATAAAATATCATTATACATACCATCATATGAAATATATATATCATTAAGATAATAAAGGATAAGGATTTTATTCCTTATAGAAATCATCTAAAGTAAAAAAAATTATTTTAAATAATTTTTATGATTATATAAATAATACAAATTTTAATACAAATACTCACAATCACACCATTCTATTTATTTTTTATAATGATAAAAATAATTAAATAAAATAAAAAAATATAGATTTTTTTGTAAGTAAAATTAAGTAAAGTAATTAAATTCTCAAAGTAAAATTTTACATAATTAATAAATTATAAATTAATTTATATGATTAAAAATTAATTATATAATATCTATTATAAGATTATTATATTATTAAATACTATTTATTTAAATATTAATAATAATATTTAAATTAATTTTAATAATACTATAAATATAATAATATATTGAAATTTACCAATTTATGATTATAATATGATTATTTTAAATACAATAGGATATATCTAACGGCCTGCATTTGTGATTTGAATGTTGCGAAAATGTAAACTAGAACATAAATTAAGCAATGCATCATGTTATTATATTCAGTGTTCTCGTTCAATATAAGTATATAAACAAAAAACATATGTACATACATATGTGTATTTCGATAGGCATATTGCGCTAATTATTATCAAGAATAAGCAAAAATATATAGTATATAAAGTTCCACATAGTCAAAATCATAAAATTTTAAGACAATTTTTATAATTTTATAATATTTTATAAAAAAGATTAATTTAACTATATTTAATTCTCAATTTATAATAAAATTATGAGTCTATATATGAATATATTTATTAATTTAATAAAAATCAATTCAAAATAATGCAAAAACATATAATTTTAAAAATTAAATAGTTGGAAACTGTATATGATATATTTATACAAAACAATTTCATTATTATAATAAAAATGAATATGCAGAATTGATTGACATACTTTATGATCTTTCAGTTTTTATCGATTATAGTTACGATATTATTATCAATACAGATCGCGTCATTTCGACTTAATAAGTTTATTAAACGACAATCATTATTTTGGCCGCATTCCCGGAGCGCGACTTACTTTACAAAGCGTTAACCGTAATAGACTACATTGACCCAAGTCCCTATATCGTTGCAACCGACTATAAATCAGAGTTGCTACTATTTCTAATAGTATAAGTAGGCCAGTGTAATATTAATCAGTCTTTTTGTAATTTTTCACAATGAACATTCGCGATAAATCCTGTCGTTTATTTATTCAACACCGAATAATTTTTATATTTTTAAGTATTTTTATATCAAATTTATTAATTACTAAATAATTCTGCAATGATGTAATCTTTTATTTCTATAGCGATGAGTCAGATATCGATACGAGTCATCATACAAAAGAAAAAGGATTAAATAGAAATTACAGATTTCGAAATATTAATTATATTAGTGTTATCGCTATTCTAATTAAATTATATAACGTATATATATTTTTTTAATTAACTCGTTATATATATATATTAAATTAAAAAAATAAAAAATAAAAATAAAAACTCTTAAATAATTTAATATATGCAACAAAAGAACAGAATTGAATTTTTTCTTAATTAAATAAATAAGACATATATTATTATATAATATAAATTATTAATTATTGTTAAAATAATAAATTTAAATATATTAGCAATTTTTTAAAAATATAATCGTAATTTAATTACAAAATAAAAATTATTCTTCATGCGATATAAGATATTTTTCCAATGAAAGTGTAAATACTAAACTTTCTGGGTATTCCCCAGTGGTCTAAAAATGTAAAATAATATATTGTAATTAATATAAATATATAAGTATAAGTAATATTTGTTTTTCATAATATATGTGTAATATATGAAAAGCATTAAAAAAAAATGCATATTTAATATAAACTTACATCAGAACAAACTCCTATAAGAACATCAGCACATGAATATATCTCACGTTTTAAAGATATTATAATAAATTGCATCTCATTTCTTTTAGAATGTATAAGACGTACAACATTTTTTATATTTATAGTATCTAAAGCTGCATCGATTTCATCTAATATAAAAAATGGAGCTGGTCTGAAACTATATAACAAATTCTGTTAAGAAGAATTAGTAATACTAAATGTAAAAGTTAAAATTTAAAATAAATAATTTTTTTATATTTACAGATATTGTTTATTAAATCAATATAAAAACAATATATTTAAAAATGAATTTATAATAAAATACCTATGAATTGCAAATAAAAAAGCTATTGTAGCAAGTGTCTTTTCTCCACCAGAAAGATTTGAGAATGATTGAAATCGTTTTCCAGGCATTATACAACTATAATTTATACCACTTAGATATGGTTCTTCAAGATTATCCGGCAAAAGAATAGCTTGAGCCGATTCATCTTCCATTAAACACTATAAAATCACATTTTTAAAATTTTTTTTAATTACATATATAATATAAAAATTAAAATTATATAATTAAAATAATAAATTACGACACTTATTTACCTTATAAATAGAATCTAATTTTGTAGTAATATATTCTAAACAGTGTGCAAATCTATTATATCTTTCTTGTTTTACTAATTCAAATTGTTTTTTAATTAAATTAATTTTCTTACGTAGTTCTTGATATTTAAAATTTATTTCTTTTAATTTTTCAATTGTAAGTTCAATTTCTTTATTAGCCTATGATTTATTTTAAATAATATTTTAATAATATTTTATTTTTCATATTAAAATATTATAATGACTTTATTCTAATTATAACTTTACAAACCTTAAAATTTGGATTTTTTATAGATTCTATTTTATTTTGTAATTTTTCAATTTCTTTCACGAGTTTATTTTTCGAGTTATTAACATTTTCTTCTGTTCGATTTTTAATATCTTCAGATAATATGTCAAAGTTTATGCGTGAAAGAATTTCTATATCGTGCATTTCTTCACTGTTTAATGAATCAAATATTTCTATATCTTCCAAATTATTTGCGATACTTCCAGATAGAAATGGAATAATAATATTTTCAACCTATTAATGTGATATAAATATAATTATCTTTAATAATATTACAATAAAATTTCCATATCTGCGATTTTAAATTTAACAACAGTTCGACAAAAATAATATATATATATATAAATAAATTACATCACTTAAAGATAAATATTATATCATTATTGTATAACGTTTTCTCTTCTTATATAAATTCGTTAATTTAACATTAATTTAAAAATAATTAGGAATTATATTTAATTGATATTTAATTTTAACATGTGTTATTTTCAATTTACCTTACAATTTATCAAGATAGCATAACATTTTGCTTTTTTCTTTTTAATATTTGTTTTAATTATTGTAATTTCCTTTTGAGTACTTATAATTAATTTTGAAATGGTACTGATGTTATATCTATATTTATTAATGTTTTCTGTTTCTTTATTAATGTTATTTTTGGCTTCATCATACATATTTTGTAAATTATTTAATTTATTTAATTCATATTTATTATTTTCTGTACATAAAACTGCAATTTGATGTGCTTTTTCTAATTCATTTTTAATTATTTTTAGATTTCCTTTTATCTTCAGAATCGCATCTACAAAAAAAAAGTTTCACATACAAAATATTCTCAAAATAAGATATTAATATTTGAAATGATACATGTATTGCTTAGACTATTTTTTTTATGAGATTTTAAATTGTTATTTTTTACTAGTAACATAAATTTTTTAACATAAATATTAAAAATAATTTTTTAATATTAGTCGAAAGTTATCCTCGATAAAAAATTATTAAAACATATAATAAATTTTATATTTATAATTATATATTTATTTATTATATAATTATATTAAGATTATAATATCAAAATAATTATTAATAATATAATATAAAATTAGAATATATTTACTTTCTGTATCTCGATTTATTTCAAAATCCAATAAATTTTGAATACGATTATATTGCTCTTCTAATTCCAATTTTCTTTTTGTTTGCTCCTGATGAAATCTAATATACAATTATTGAACATGAAATATGAAAATATATATTATAAATAAAATATAAATAAATATAAATAAATATATGGCAATATTTAAAATGTAGTATTTACTTTAGATTTCCTTGTTCATATTGACGTATATTCGATATGCCAATATGATTACAAAAATTTTTAAAAATCATATCTTCAATATTCATAATGGATTTTTCTATATTTTGAATTTCTTGATTTTTTTCCATCATAATGTCTTTTATTGATGTTATATTATTCTGAATAATATATCATAAAAAAAGATGAGATTTATTTATATGAATAACATTTAAAATTATTAATATGATAAAAAAATAAATTTACTGCTAATTATATAATTTATAATAAATAGAAAAAATATAAAATTTGATAAAACGAATGCTTACGTTTATTATGTCTAATTCATTTTGAATAACTTCTATTTCATGTTGAAGCGTGATTATTTTTTTTTCTAAAGAAAAATTTAATTATTGAAGAAGAAAATATTTATATATATATAAAATAAAGAAAATAAATCAATTAAATATATCATTTCATTAAAAACTACTTACATGATCGTTTAAGTCAGATGTGGAATAATTTATTCTATTTGTGAGACTCTTAATTTGTATATTTAATGTATTTATTTCAGATTCACTTTGAGAAATTTTAATTTTTTCTCTTAATTGCTCCATTAATATTATCTAAATAAACTAGGAATTATAAGTATCGTAAAATTAACTTATTAATAAAAAAAATGAATATTTAAAAAACCTTTTTTGATTTTAATTGGATTAAGTTTTGTTCGTTCCATATTTGGGCTTTTTTTAATAATTCAACTTCTCCTCCAGAAATTATACCATCTTTTTTATAGTAAGTTCCGTCTAATGCAACGCACTATAATATAATTATAGTAATATTAGACGATATAATTTAATTAAATGATAAAATAATAGCAAATAGCCAGTATAAAATAATAAAAACATCGCATGGAAATAACAAAAAATTTCATAAAAAATAATTAAGTTTTATAAAATTTTCATTCTTACGTTGGTTCTACGATATGGATTAATTTCATATGCAAGCATTCTTGCCTCTTCTGATGTTTCACAAACAATAGTATTTTTAGTTACAAATAAAATAGCATTAGTAATTTCTACAAGTTCAAACTTAAGTACATCATATAAAAGTTTTACATTTTTTGGTTCCGTAATTCCACTAAAATGAAGAATCATGAAAATATTATTAAATGACAATATGTGTAGGTTTAATATAAAAATTATATATTTTAAAATATAATTATACAATAAAATAAAAAAATTTTATTTTTCATATTTTTATTATATTAATAATGATTATATTAATTGATTATATTAATTAATTATTTTGAAAATATATAGATATAACATAAAAAATAATGTAGATGCTTGTTTCGTAGAAGCAATTTCAGAATTTAGCTTTGCATTTTCTAAACGAAGTGAATTAATTAGAATTAAGTAAAATATTGCATATAATTTAAATACTATTTAAAAGATACATACTTAAAAAATAATTGTTTTTTACTTAATTTAAATCGATAAAATAATTAATTTTTTCAAGTCAAAATTAATTAATGTAATTAATTTTGTATACAATTACATTATATATCGTACCGTAGTATTTCCTTTATTGGTTCTACTTTTAAATTTTCCACTGGTAAAAAAGTTTCAGATCCTATCTGTTGTTCTTTTAAATAATTAATACATTGTATTGCTACTTTATTTGTTGACACAATAATAGAATTACAATATTTTCCTAAAACTTTTGTCATTGCAATATCATAGCGAGAATGAATAGGTTTACATAGATTGTATAAACGACCATACTGAAATTTAAACATAAATATTTTTTTATTACTTTATAGAGAAAAATATAAATTAATTTAATAATATTAATTTAATATAAATTTTAATGCATACCACACCAGAAAAAAGATTTTGCAAAATTTTAATTGTTTCTGCTTCTTTATTTAAACGCAAAATTGTAAATTTATCTATTTTTGCACAGTCAAACTGTTCAGATATATATTGTAATTCTAATTGTATAGTTTCTACATCTTTTTTTTGTTGAGTAATTATATTTTCTAAATTATGTTTCATGTTTATTTTATCAGTTAACGTGTCTTGAATTTCCTTTATACATTGTTGAATATTTTTTATACGTTTCTCGGTTTCATCTTTTAAAATAATCTTTTGATTTAACTTTGTTTCTAAATCATATTTTTTCCTATTTTCATTATCTAATTTATTTTGATTTATATTTTGCTCGCATTTAAAAAAATTACATGTCTCTACATGTTTTGAACATTTTGTCTCAGATATTTGTTTTAAACGAAAATATTCGTTTATCTTGAAAAAAAAATATAAATTTTATTTTGATGAATTTTTTGTAATTTGAATTTATAATAATAAAAACAGGTATAAAATATCTATATTTAGATCTAATAGCAAATTAATATATAAGCATATGATAAACTATTTTTTTATATAATATTCTACAGTATTACATAGTATTATATAAAATTATTCTTTAAATATAACTATACTTGTATATCATTGAGTTCAATATTGTCTTGAGATAATAATTGAGTTGTCATATTTTCTTCAAATACATATTTTGCATGTTCAATTTGTGTTAATTCATTTTTTAATTCTTTTATTGTTTCTATATGAGATTCTCTATATTTTTCTTTTTCTAATAGCAATAAATTTGTGGAATTAAGTTTTTGTTCCCAGTATAAAACTTTTTCTTTTGATTCCATTAAATTTGTTTCTTTTTTTCTTACATTATTTTTTACGTTTATAAGGTTTTGCTCAATATTTTCTATAGTTTTATTTGCAATTTCTAATCGCTCTTTTCGTTCTTTTAAAAGACCGTTTTCAATACTTTTGTTCTTTCATACTCAATTATTTTAGATTTTGTAATATTCAATGTAATTTCTAAATCTTGAATATCTTTTTGAATATGAAATAATTCAAAAAGATATAATTCTGTTTTATTCTTTAACTAAAAGATAAAATAAATTATTTAAATATCATAAAATTTTTTGATGAAGTAATATTTAATTGAAAAAATAATTAAAAAAAATAATACATTCATTATTTAAACTAATAATTAAACTAATAACTAAATATTATATAATTATGGAAATCTAAATATATATTCTAGATTTTAAAGCTTATTAAAACATTATACAAAAATATCTTTTTCAGAAAATAAGAGATAATTAATTAAAAAAAAATTTATAGAAATAAAAATATATATTGTATGAAAAAATAAATTTTTAGATATGATTATTCTGTATATTTTATGCATATTTGCGTATATATTCGATAAAATGATTTTTTAATTGTACATAATCTATATTATATGATTTATGTATAGTAGTTTGTCTAAACAAGCCACTAAACATCTTTTCTACTTATAGTATAAAAAATATTTTTTATACAATTTAAATTAGAAAAATAAAGATTTTTTTTTCAAAATCATTGTTCTTGCGTGTTATTCCTTTATCATATCTTATCACTGATAGTAAGAAGTAATACATAATTACATATAAATGCAAATATTTGTCATTCATTAATTATATATCAAATTATTTTATTCTATATAAATATACTTTAAATTTCACTTTAAAAAGAAAATTTTATATAATGATCAATATAAAATCTTATGTATATAGTAAACAGTGCAATATAACAACAACTGTAATGTAAATATGTACTTATGTGACACATACATATTGATTATAAAGGTCTTGATATTTTTCTGTTTCTTCTTTTTGTAACAAATCATATTTTTTTTTTATAAGAAGATCTTTTTTTCTTTTATATATAAATCGAATTTCATTTTCTGCATTAGAAATCTCACGTTTTAACCTATGAATATATAAAAAATAATATAATAATGATAATATTGATATGTAATAACATGTTTATTTTACCTTTCATATTCTTCTTTTAATTCAATTGAATTACTAATTTCTTCAAATAAATTAGTATATTCTTTTGGTGTTTTTAATATTGTGGAGTCAATAGCTCCTTGAAATATTAAGAAATTTTTGGCTTTGACATTGAGATTAAGTTTTCTTAATTCAGATAAGTACAATTGAACTACAACTACCTTGATTATAGCAAAACATATTATTTTGTTGTATTAATATCAAATTAAATAATATTAATAAAAGTAATTATTAAATAAACAATATAAATATAAATACAATAATCATATAATTATGTTATAATTAAAAATATTTAAAAATATTTTCTTTATATAAAAGAATATTGTAACATAATTAAGAAAATATACAATTTAAATTATTAAATTATTTAATTATTATTTATTATTTAATTCAATTATGTAATTGATTTAATTGTAATTTGCATAATTTTTATAAAATTTAAATTACCTGGTCATTAATTTTGTATTCACAAAAAGTATGATATACAGTTCTTGTAAAGCTTTTAATACTATTATCTTCAAGAGTAAAAACAGCTGTTACATATGCTCTATATTATAAATAAGAAAAATTAGAAATTTCAGACAAGAAATAATAAGTATTTTGAAAACAATATGATAGAAATAATTATTTATGAATGTTTAAATTATACTCTTATGAAATTCTAATTCATCATATATATATATATTTAAAATTTATTTTGATGAAATATTATTTTATTAATAATGTATGTTAAAATCAAAATTCAAAATATAATTTGAAAAAATAAATATATTAACACCTGTGTGCCATAGATATTTCTCCATATGCACCATAAATAAGTTCATTAAATTTTTTAACACGCAAGCTTTTAGCTGATTCTCCCATCACAAAACTAATTGCATCCATGATATTTGATTTGCCTAAAATAATAATAATAAATATTACAATTACTGTAATTTTCATTTTTTAACTTTTTAAGATTAAAAATTTAATTAATTTTATAAATTTATATATACTATATGTATAAATATAATTTAAATAAATTTTTTAATTTTCTATTAATAAAAAATAATTTAATAATTAATCAAATGCAGTTGAACATAGTAAATTATTAAGAAATCAAAAATAATAATCCTAAAATAATTAAAAAATTATAATTCATATATATATATATATATAAAATAAAATAATAAAGATTTTTAATTTCAATTGTATACTGTATATTGTAGGGTATATTATGTGATTCTTTTTTAAATCTTAAACGGTTATCGAAAATATAATTGAAAAAAGATAGAACTTACCAGATCCATTTGCACCTATAATTGCTGTGAAAGGTTTAATAGGCCCAATAATTACTTCTCCCTTAAAAGATTTAAAATTAAAAACTATGATATGCTTCAAATTTACTTGCATTGTAATTTTAACTTTATAAAACACTGTAAGTTTAAGCGCCACAATTTTGTCTTTTATACAATACTGCCAACACTAAAACTCAATAATATACTTTATAAACCGAAAAATGTAAAAAAATTATTATTAAAATTCTTTTTTATAAAATTATTGAAAAGTATTTAATATAACATATAATAAAGTATCAAAATAAATTCCTTTAAGTCGGAAACGTATTCTTTATATCATTCTAAAATGCTTATATTATTAATTTCATGATTGATAAAATAAGACATATAAATGTCGTAAAAATATTGTAATAATATTATAATAATAATTTATAAATCATGCTTTTATAATTATATAATAATAAAGTAAAAAATAAAATTTATTATATAATTAAAAAATTTTAGTAATATATAGTGATATTATATAATATTTAGTATTATTAATAATATATCAATAATTATATTATTAATAATTTTTTATAATATATGCAAATATGTATATATTATATGATATACAAAACATAAAATATTATTTTTAAGTAATATAAGAATTACTTAATTTTTTTACTATATAATTTATATTATTTTTCAATAAAAAATATTTTTATATATATCATAAAGAACAAACATTTAAAAACTAATAAACAGTATATTATAATGAAATTTGTTATCCTAGAAAAGTACATTTACAAACTTACAATATAAAAATTATGATTTAACATTTGACTTAACTTAACTTAAAAATTGACATATTATTTTAATTTCATACATAATTCTATATACTTATATAAATAATTTATTATTAAACAACTTTTACATTACTAAAGGCAAATTTTCCTATTTAAATTTAATTTAAATAATAATAAAACTTTGAAAACAATTGAAATATATATTACACTAACTTTTTTTAAAAAAAGAGAGAAAAAATATTAGTAAAATATTTAATAATCCAAATATTTTTTGAAAATCTTTTAACTTCACAATTTTTTTTTGAATACATAATTCATAAAATATTTTGTTAAATTTCAACATAAGAAATTTAAATATTGAACATAAAATTATTAAATATAAAATAAAATCATAAAATAAAAAATATAATTGTAATACATAATTATATAGAAATATATCCTATGCATTAATGTGCGTGGGATATGTAGTTAAATCAAGAGTTAATACTTTACTTTCCAGACATTCACCAACCTGTAATTGAGAAAAAAGATATCACAGTGTTATAGTATATGAATATGCAGTTTTACTCACATCTGGGCAAATACCAATTAATGCATCAGCATGAGAATAAAATTCTTCTTTTAAAGATATGACAATCGTTTGTAAAGAACTTGTTTTATCACGTATGTAACTAGCTACTTTTCCTATATTAGTATTATCCAATGCAGCATCAATTTCATCCAAAACAAAAAATGGTGCAGGTTGAAAACTATAGTATATAAAATTATATATTAGAATTAATTTATATTTTATTTATATTTATATTATAATATATTAATAATATATTAATATATTAATAAAATATAATAAATAATAATATATAATGTATTATTAATAATATATTAATAAAAAATAATATATATTTATACTTAAATTAACAAAAATAAATTATAAATAAGAAA